AATCCGTGGTGTTGCACGGATTATCACTAAAGCGCCGAATGAACCTTCTAGGTTTACGTGAAAGCGAAATATTGTGCGAAGGTTCGATCACTTGAGTTGAAGTGATATTGTCTCGACCAAATTTGTGTATATATATATATTGTGAATATATATATATATATATTCATATAGTCAACAAATAAAAATCGTTTTATGCTTACCAAAGATGTAGATAAGTTGGCCTAAGAATATTTTACTGATGTGCGGTTAATTTTGATAATTATTTCTTATTGATGGTGTTACGGTAAACATTTATTCTATATTCCGAAACCATTACAGCAAAGGCCTATTCTTCACTTATTGCAAAATTTCATTTATGCCATATGCAACTTGAAGAAATAAGTTAAGTCAGGTTGCAACGGGAAGAGTTGCGACAATCTAGCTGACCAGCTCAACGATTCTAGTCAAACGATGCGTTAAGCCGGGCACTCAGAGTGTCGTACGACGACCCCAACTCCACTTTCTGTGAGCGCTAGATGACGGGGACGCCGTGTGCTGATTGCCGGTGGCAGTCAGAACGGATTGTCATTAAAACGATCCATTGTGCGCGCACGTCGTGGCCTTTTTGCGTTCTTCACAGAATCGCGTCGGCCGACAACAGTGGGGCGAAGTGACTGCCCGGCTTTGGTATAATTCAGAACGTTAGCTTTAACTTTGTAAAGCAAAGTAGGCCTATACATTTTAAATCTTTCCCATTTTATTCCAGTTTAATGAGCAGCCTGATGTCATTATTTTGGTCGTTGTTTGGCGTATCAGAGCAAACAATATTCACAGGTCATCCTGCCTACTACGCTGCGACAGAGATTGCTGGTATGGGAATGTACTCTCTCTACCATGTGTTTGCCATCGTAATTCTATTCAACCTGTTAATAGCAATGATGAGTAATACTTACACTAACATCGAGGTACGTTTTATTAAGTTTGTACAGTATATTTACATTAATAATGTCATTTAAAGCATAACAATAATACTAATTAGCAAATAACGAACTATAAATCCAAAAGCACATCTGGGAAGAAATAAAGTACGTATATATTATATTTGTAAATTTATGAAACATTTTGCACATGTACGCTGTACATAATTGTACGCTGACTAGGTTTATGGGCCGCCCACAAATGAAGGGGTGTCGGGGGGGGGGGGATTGTCCCTGTCAGAGAGAGCTTCCCTTTACCGAGGAGAAAAATGCAATACGTCGGGGAGGGAAAAAATGTATGGTATTTTTTCACAGTTACACTCTAAAATGGAATAAATATGACTTTCAAGTCCCTAAATTTTCATAGCTTCAAGGGATTCCTCGGACATTTGCCGATTTGTGGAGCCATTGAGCAGGCGATAAATTTTGTCGAAATCGCTTTGATTTTTTTTCTGCATGTGGAACGCGCTATTGTATATAGGTCCTAAGTACTTTTAAAAAAATTAATTTTGATGATAATAATGGTAGTGATAGTTACGATGGTGACGATGATCATCATCATTATAATGGTAAATTATTAAGATATTGATAACGGTTGTAATAATGATACAAGTTCGATAGCAATACGAAAAAAACTTCGTTGATTGTACTTATTATAACGAGACAAAATATTAATGCAGTCGCGTTCGTTATCACGTGCCTTTACTGTTTGACGAATGCACCGGCATAGTGGCGCCAGAGCATGCGGTCTCTTGCTTAGTAGAATTAATTTAATTCTTGCCACTATTCATTGAGCTCGTTCCCTCCACCCTTTACATTGCCTCTCTGTACATTATAATACAAATAAATACAAATTTGACATTGGGCTTATTTGACTGGCTCATTTCGTTGAGTATGAATTTTCGTTGAGTATTATTTTCATTCGACTGGTTCGTTAAATAGACTTCGTTGACAACGAAATTAACGTAAACCAGAGTGCGTTAATCAGCGTTAAGTTATCCACGTGACCAAAAAAACCATGACCGATTGGTGAGTTTATAAACAACATTTGCGTTAATATAACTTAAATTTCATAAAATAAAAATTATAATATTTACCCACACGGAGTAAAAAAATAATTGTAGGCTAACAGAATTCAAAAACTGGATGAAAATATTTTTTTTAACGAAAAACCCATACTACTACAAGTTGAAGCAATCTTGATTACGCAACGTGTATCGCGGTAACTATACAGCCATTTTGTTTTGTCGAGTATTTACAAGTTTTCTATTCGACTGGTCGTCTTCGTTGAGTAGGATTTTATCGCTGCGCAGGTGGGCGTGGTTTAACGAAGAACGACCAGTCGAATACGGCCATTGTAAAACTTATTAACATGAATTACTGCAACCATGGTCAGTAACTATCATAGCAGGTATTGTAGGCCTATGCTGCACTAATAACAATACACAATATAATATAACGATTATTAATATTATTGTCAGTTTTGTTATTATATTGATACTGTAATAGTAGATCTATTATACACAAAAAGGTAAAAAATAATATTCAGATAATAATAATATTCAATTGTTATAATGTAGGCCTTTATAAAATAGGCTTAATGATGATGCCGATGATAAAACGCGTTGTCACTTTGACGGTTGAATACCTACCGCCGTGCTCTATGCTTTACACATTGCTGTCGTTTATGATCAAACCTCGATATAAGCCTACCTACGAGGGATGCATTTAGTTAATGAATAAATGAATAATGTTCACAGTCGACAGCCTGATTGAGTGTTATCATGTTAGCGCCAAATGCCAAATTGTAGCGTGAAGCGTCAACCTGATTATACGCCTGTTATTTTAACATTGCGGTTCAGAGCGATGCTTTCATTTGCTACTCGGAATTTGATAGGAACCAGTATATAATTTACAGAAGATAGAACTAGAAGTAATTGAAACTAAACATAAGAAACAGTAACGCGGACAATTTAACCACGCCTACCCATCTGTGCACTACAAAATCCAACTGAGCGAGTGGTTAGAAATGTCTCAGTTGAAAGTTGGATAAACGTGGAACCTCAAGGAACGGGAAGCGAAATGTGTTGATCATCACTTTAAATATCTAAATATTTCCGCGTTTCATTTATTATGTGTTTGTTTGATGGAAGAGTGTAGTAGTCAGGCCCTATGCCTCTTTAGTAAACAAAACGAGACAGCAGACTTCATTGAGAAGGGTTCAACGGGCAGAGACCAGGGGAAGAGTCGAGGGCAAAGACACTGGAGCACTCATGTAATTTAAGAAAATTGAGATATTTATAACTAATTTCATAATCCATTAAAAATTATGATATAGATATGAATACTTAATAGGCCAATGTTCCAACTAGTTGGGGCTAAGATGTAGAAATCTGCTTGCGTGTGGCAGGGTCCGGTTAGATTAACAATAATAAAATAATTATTTATTAGTCATCATTCAAATTGGAAATCGGAAATTCGGGCTGGGCATCTGAAGACCCGCGGTACCCACAATGAGCGCCACCCAACTTAACTACATGACGAACACATACGGATAACATTGTCCTTATTAACCCGCCGCCTAACTCTCAATATGAGGGCTATTCGAGGAGCCAAGCGTCGAGCGATCATATTCCAATTAAAAGCCAACGCTGGCTGAGTTTGAACCAATCGGGATCTTCTGCACAAGAAGCAGGAACAATACCTCTCGGCCAACCGCTTAGGATTGTGATAGATATAAAGTCCCGGTAGTAGTTATTTGTGAAGAATTCCATAAACCATGGTATAAATATGAAAAAATATGTCGACCCACATCGTGGTTTGGGAGGTCAGTGTATTTAGGGCTTATAATATTGGTATAAAATCTCATAATCCTTAAAAGTAACAATTCAATATTTTTACAACTTTGGTTTTATCGAATTATTGAATCCACAACATTTACTACATATCTGTATGGAGGCTTCGTCATTAAAACCTCAATTGACGGCAGTGAAATTATTATGCCTATTATCATTATCAGACATTAATCTAACGTCACGTTTTATTCATGTTTGGTTATTTAGTACAGATTGCCTATTTTGTATTGCAAAAAAATAAAACAGTTTTATGAAGGTCTGAAAAGTACAGGAACTGTAAACGTATCTGAGGCATTTTAATTTGTTTCCTATGTGCCTCATTATGTAGGGGAGGCGCGGCCATTATTGTATTTATTTATTGGAAAATAATCGTGTATAGAGTATGTCATCAGTCAGATGGGTAAACAAATCTAATAAGAAAATTTTTGGTATGTTGTCCGACAATAATTTAATTTGCGGTAGGAAATATTAATTTCTTGACTTCTGAGGTGTACAACATTGATTAATCTGAATTGAGATTCTGATATTGTTAATAATAATAATACCAAAACTAATATAATAGGCCTATTAATATTAATAATACCCTTCATGTTCGATAACAAAAAGAGATATAGTGGTGATGATGATTGTGGTGGTGGTGGTGACGGGGATGAGTGTGATGATGAAGATGCAAAAGATGACGTAAAGACAATAATGCTGAAATTAATAATTATTAATGGTTTTAGAGTACTGTGTTTAGAAAACATGCTTGTCAAAGTAGTTCAACCTATATGATATGGGTTAGCATGTTGAGGAATTGTTGAATTACTGTAAATTTAAAATTTAACGTACTTAATGCGTCGTAATAATTCATGCGGAAGCATTGGCCTGAAGGTTATGCTCGTCTAATAATTTATCGTAGCGTTATGTTCAATCGCAAGGTGTTAAATAATATTAGGCTACCGTATTAGGCTATATAATATTTTTATCAGCTAAGAAAGGGGAAACCTCTATAATGTAGGTGTATATTAATTATATTTTTTAATTAAGCTAGAACTTACAAATCTTTCATTTTATGTGATTTCTTATTATAATGAATTTAATATCAGATACTTAATGCACAAATACACTATTATATTGGTATAACGTGTAATGACGTCAGTCATGCTAATCATATAGGCCTAGAATTATTGACATGTATTACGTCAGGGATATGTGACGTAATATATGTACATACTGTATGTAACATGTGGGCACCGTCCTGTGTGCATAAAATAAACTCTGTGTTTTTAATACAAGTAAATATTTGAAAAGCTTACGTTATTCAAGTTTGGAATAATAATTTTTAATTCGAAATAAATCGAGAACATAATACGTCTCCTCGCCAACTAAGCGTGCCTAATCCCTTAAATTTTCTGGTAATTGTAAGAAAATTGTGTCCGATTTATAGCTATCAAATGAACAGTTAAATATAATCGCTTTTTCAGATTACTACCGAAAAGGTATTATTAGGGCTTGTGGAGTCACATCTGACGATTAACGACGTATCTGAATAAAATGACTGTAATACCAACTTGTAGGATGTGGAGCTTTCATTGTATGTTTTACAAAAAAAAAAAAAAAAAAAAAAAAAAAAAAAAAATACGTTGACGAAAGGTCAGATAAAGTTTAATATTTTCTAGTATAAATTTAAAACCCTTGACAGTTCCCGATTGAAAGAATTTACGGATAGAAATTAATATAATGCCTCGCGCGAGAACTCATGGCAATACATCTAAACAGACAAACTTAATGATATTTATACTCGTAAGTGTACGTGGAACCGTATCTGTGACCATGATATTTTAACAAGTGTCAATACCCTGTAGGCGGCTGTTAAACGTGTATTGCCTCAACAGAGTTTGTTGAAATGCTTACTTTCACATAGCCTCACCAAATTCCGAACCGAACATGAATAGAATTCCTATAATCAACAATTACGAAGCTTAGTCGCCATTTTGAAGTAAAATAAATCTGCGGATTCCACAAAAGATATGAACATAAACATGTCCATACATTGGGGCGGAGCTACTGAGCATTAAAAGTAAAAACATAGTAAAAAAATATACCGTATTCACCGAGGTGATATGCCTAGTTAATGTGAACGTAACTCATCACTCATCAACGAAAAAATAACTGCCTGTGACATATATGTGTCTTTTACTGATTTATATAAGCTAATTCAGATACCTAAGATAATACTCAGGGAAGACCAATTGTGTCAACGTCATCAATGAAATCCTAAATACTATATTCTTTTAGCTATCGTCAATAACGCTTCCCGTCTTCTGGCATCGCACGAGTCACTATTTCTTTCCACCCGATCCGCAGCGATTAAGTGCACAGACCCAACGTTAACATAGTCCTTAATTTCTGTTTAATGCTTGCAATCCATGTAGTAATTGGCCTCCCTACTGCTTTCCTGACTGAGCTGCTATCGTCGAGCAGGCCTTGCGTGCAGGAGCGTTGATATCAGTCTTAAAATTTGTCCTAGAAAATCTTCTTTGTTTAATGACTCTGCTCCATCTTTCCGTGTCTGCTCTACTGTACTTTAATTTGAATCTTGTCAGGCCAATGTCTGCCTTAGAAATTGTCTTCAAAATATGTAAATTCCTTCATCAAGTGTCTTTGTCAGGGTCCATTGCTTGCTATTGTATAAGAATACACTAGAAACGTATGCATTGAGGAGTCTGATTTTTAGTGATATTTGTGTATTTCTTCATTATATTATTTCTTCATTATATTATTTCTTCATATATATATATATAATATATATATATATATTAATATGATAATATATGTGAACGATATGTTTTAAAGAAAGAAGGTAATAATTATGCCTAGCATGTGCTTTTACGAAACTATGTTGCCAACAGCTTATTAACACATTATCCCGCCCTACGATACATCCGTAGGCCTATGTCCCAGCATATTCCGCTGTCATTTTACGCAGAAATCTTTTTAAAAAAAAAGCTAACATTTGTGTCACACGTATGATAATATCATATATGCATTATTATAAGGCCTACAGTTATTTAAATAGTAACATATTGTGGTTTATTTGCATTAACGAATATTGTTTTAATCTATTATGCAGGAGGATGCAGATATCGAATGGAAATATGCTAGATCGCAGCTTTGGATGGAGTATTTTGACGACAGCATAATTGTTCCGCCACCATTTAATCTTCTACCTAGACCAAGTGTTTGCTTTAAACACATAAAATGCTTTCTCGGGTTCCCATGCTCAGAAACTATGAACAGGGTAATCAGATAATCATTCAATCAAATAATAATAATAATAATAATAATAATAATAATAATAATAATAATAATAATAATAATAATAATAATAATAATAATATGTATGTATATAGGCCTACATATGTATATGTATTTGATATGTGATTTCCTTGTTCTTTGCAATTAATTCTGTAAATGTATTTTTAATGTGTTTTGTATATTTTATCTTCTCCTTAATTGGAGGTTTTTCCGATGAATAAATAAAATAAATAAAAAATAAATAAATAATAATAATTATTATTATTATTATAATACACACACACACACACACACACACACATATATATATAGATATATATACTATATATATATAGATGTATATATAGTTATACTACTGCTGCAAAAATAAAAGCAATTTCAGCACGATATTAAAACATAAAATAATAATAATAATAATAATAATAATAATAATAATAATAATAATAATAATAATTGTAAATTTTGAAAATAAAATACCAGACTAAATAATTGATTCAGAACGTTATATATATCTGTCATCAAACACATAAATTTGCAAGCGTAATTACTTTATGGATTCTGAAATGTAATCGATGATTGTAAATTGCAAAGTGACACTCTATCGAGTTTACATTCATCGTTAGGACTCTAAAGTGAGAGCAGCTTTCTAAGTAGGCTAAACTGCTCGTAGCCACTGGGTGTGCGCTGAACCTTGGAGATCCTTTCAGATATCTGGTCCATGGTTTAATTCCAATCCCTGATCCTTGTGTTTTAGCTTTAAGGCTGAAATACAACCTATCTAAACATTTTACGTTTTAATAAGTTTACAGTTTGGTGTATATATA